TTATTCATAATATTACAAAGCCTCGCCGCTTCTATACTTTTAGAATACTCTAGAATTCTACGTATTTTTAAGCAGTTAGAGAGTATTTATAGCTACCAATATATGCCCGGTTCGTTTTCACCCAACATTACGCCCCCACCGCTTCTATATTTTTTTACAATATTTTTTTACAATACTCTGAATGAATTCTACGTATTCTTGAGTATTCAAAAGTATTTAAAATTACCAATATATTCCCGGACCGTTTGCAACATACCGCCCTACTCCCACTCCACCACCATCACAATTTTGTGTGGTGTCAAGTACTTACCACCCTCACCATTGTATATTGTTAAGTATTTACCACCCTTGTCACCTCCGCCATCCCACACCACCCTCACCACCCCAACGCTTCTGTATTCACAATACCTACAAAACTATTTTTTTAGTATTTAAAGAAAAGAATATTTAGATTTTAAGTATTTAAAGAAAAGAGTATATAGAGACTGCTAATGGGTGCCCGGACCCCCCCGCACCCACCCCGCCCTCACCGCCCCCACCACCCCCACCGCTTCTGCGTTTTTGCAGTACTCTAGAGTTCTACGTATTTTTAAGTGTTTAGAGTTTAGAGAGTATTTACGGCTGCCAATGTGTGCCCGGACCGCTTGCACCCATGCTACGCCCCCACCACCCCCACCGCTTCTGTGTTTTGTAGTACTCTGAGTTCTACGTATTTTTAATTGTTGAGAGAGTATTTAAGGTTGCCAATATGTGCCCGGACCGTTTACAACACAACGCCGTCACAGTTTTGTGTGTTTTTAAGTACTTACCACCCTCACCATTGCGTGTTTTTAAGTGTTTACCACCCTCACCACCTCCACCACCCCACACCGCCCCCACCGCCCTCACGCTCGCTGCCCTGTTGGTCTGAGCTTGGCTCAGCCGAAGGAGGGAGTTTCTGCGAAGCAAAAGCCACGACCGCCTGTGCCGCCGACCCGCTGCCGACCCTGCTTCATCGGACCTTCGTTTCTCCATCGGGCCGTGCGGGCCCTCGCCCGGAGGCTTCTCGGAACGCGCACGCGTTTTGCAGCCATTCCCCACGGTATGGCGGGTTTCGGGGCTGCCGTGGACGAAACCAGGAGGCCGGCGGCGAGCATCATGAGCCTTCGGGCGCCCGCAACCGGCCTTTTGGCCGGAGGCGATGTTTTGGCTATGCTTTGTCCGATTTTGAATTGGTTTGGGAAGCACCAAAGGGGCGCGCATCATGAGCATCAGCGGGGTTCGGCGGAGGGCGGGTGCGGGCTACATGGAGGGTCGACGAGGGCTGAGAGCGTAAGGGGACGGAAAAACACAAGGGCGGGTGCGTGGCCTAGCTTCAGGCTTCTAGCTGCGCTGCCCGCACCTGGGCGCAGCCCCTAGAATATTGATATTATTACAACGTTGAGATCTCAGGTGTGTTTAACCAGAGATAGAGCCCTTCATTCGGAACTCTCATTTTTGCAAGAGCGAGATGAATTTCTTTCGCAGTGTTTCTTCAGTGGACATTGCCACAGTGCTCGAAGGTGCCCTTGGCACTTGCAGGCGTTTCTGGGTGTGCACCGGTTTCCAAGTGCTTGGCCTGATCCCAGGCACCGGTGGACCAAAATTTTTGGCGGCTTGCTTGCTCAAGTGAAACGACCTCGTCCCTGTTGAAAGATTGACTAGCATGAACATTCCTTGTTCTCCATAACGTAGTGAGATATCTCTACTACAATGGTAGGGCAGAGACGCGACTTTACACTTCTTCTGCGTGGGCCGCCTCGACCGAGTCTCTCATTGCAATGGAGTACAGTTGGTAGAGGCGGCAGAGCATGACGATACAGGAACTCATGACTCATCAACTGCACCCGTTGGCTTTGCTGCACGAGTGTGTCCGAAAAAATTATCGAGCTCCGGGCCTTTCCCCAGCTTTGCTGCGGGATATGCCCGAATAGAAAGTACACGTAGTGACTTCGACGGCTGGTGAGCGAAATAAACACGACCTGTTGAAGTCGAGCTATAGGGACAACACACCACTGACTGGGCTTTGACTCAGGTTGTTGCAGGCATTCTGCACAACTTATGTCGGCTACTTGCATGAGATGTTGCGTGCCGCAGAACTCTTTCCAGGTTTATCTACGTGCTGGTGGCAAAGTCCTTGTCCCAACCAGAGCCATCATCCTGCAACTCGACCGCAGGACGACAGCACAAAAAACGAAAAAGAAGCCACTGCTAGCAGTCCAAGCCATGCATACCCAAGAACAGTTCCTCGAGCATGACTCCAACATGCACACCACACATACGATTGGCACACCAGAACGAACACGGGTTGCACCCCTTGTGGAGGCACCCTGCGCAGCCACGAGATGCATCGCACTGTGGCCCGACGACGATTAGAAGATGCGCACCCCAAAGTACGGGCGGCATTGTGGCGGGGAGCACAATTTCGAGTTCGCCAGATCGGGTGGGATTTCGAAACCGCACCAAGGAACCCCAAAAAGGCGAGCAGCGTGGCCCTGCAGCGGTAGTGGCTTCGAGCAAGTTGAAGGCCAAAATGACTGCGCGGGACTGCGGCGGCAGCCCGATTTCTACCAAAACTGTCTCAAAACAAACAAGGAACTGAGAAAGAGCGCAACTATTTCATTTAGTTGGACACAGCGCCAAATTAGTTGATTTACAATAACATAAGCCGACCAAATCCTTTACGCCGAACGTATGAACACCAGAGATGTCACCACACTACTTCTGAAATCGCACATTAGTGGCATGCTGGCCGGCCTTGTATGGCACCTGCGGCGGCAAGTCGTCCTTCCGAGCATGGAAGTTGCCGATGTCCTGCATCGGTGGTAGTTTCTAGAAGGCATGCATGCAACACGTCTTGCACTCAAACCTGAAGCTCCAGTACGAGAATGACAAATGATAACACCCAGAGTTTGAAGCGAAATCCCGGTCGCTTCATGTCGAATCTGCACTTGCACTACACGTAGCCACTCCTTCTTGTTCTTGACCTGAGGCTTGTACGGCGGCTCCATGCTCTGCTTCTGGCCGGGTCAAAAACTGCCGCACTTGTCCTAATCCAACTGTGAAGTGCAGTTGCTGCGTCAGCAACGCTGCACTTAGCCCCTGAACCTTTTGCATCTAGGTTATACCTCGCCCACGCCAGGTGTGGACCCACGCCTCAAAGGCCTGCCAGTCGAATCCCTTGAAGAAGGTATGCCTCGAAGGCGGACCACATCGAAAATACGAATCATCGGAAACAGGCGACGGGCTCTGCGAAGCAGGTGCGCTGCGATCTGCGACCCCATCCACTGCTGCACAAGCTTGAGAACTTGAGATCACAGAAGTTGTTGGTACAATGCCTAGCCGCATGGTCTTCTGCCGAGCCGCTTCTTCAGGTTGGCCACACCCCCCTTTTTCATTGGTAGCCGTTCTGATGGGTCCTTCCACCCAAGCTGCTGCAATCTAACAAGCAACACTCCGCATGTGACTTATACAGTGGCTTCCCCTGCATTCGGCAAGCCCCTGATGGATTGCAGTAACCGGGCTACAACATGAGCACTGCTATCCTTCTTGCAGAGAGACCTCACGAGATCTTCGGCCTCAGTTCGGACAGACTTGAGCCGAAGTGACGAGATGCCAGGAAACAAGGCCTGCCAAAATGCCTCGTTCCTTGTGCCCGCGGATCTGTCCACACGAGTGCTTATTGCTTGTGGCAAAAGAAGTACGTGCCAGACAATTACAAGGCGGCTTCACTGTGAAATATTGCCGGCATGTTTATCAAATTCGTGCGACAACATGCGACAACTGCGAGCTGGCCACACAGGCTACGTCAGTCAAGTCACGGCTCCTTTGCACTTAGGTGGGAAGGTGACTTTGTTGATCCCCTTGGTGACCTGTGCAGGTAACGGCATGGCGGAAGCTCAGTGTGCACATGATCTGATGATGCGTCAACATTACCTACCGAAACCACCATGCAGGGCCTTCTGATAGATCTGCATAGGGTAGGCAGACTCGAACGGAGGATGACCGCCTGCGTGGCCCAGAAAGCCGTACAGACTGCACAAGACTACGTCTAGTCCACATCCATGCATATCCAACCCTTCTGTGCTGAGTTGCTGAGCAGCTCGAAGAGTAGAATACCGCAAGTCCACCAGTCTACCTCAGATCTGGCTCGTTTGTCTCTTCTGGACTCACCCGTGATGTTGGCAGATCACTCCTGGTGTACCTGATCCTTTGCAACCTTCTGCAGTCTCAAGCGCTGCATGTGTGTGGCCAGTGGAAGCTATCAGCTCTGGGGCGAAGTAATCTGGCGTACCACACCTAGGATGGGAGCACACGATGTGCACAATACTTCACTACCTGCACGGCAGAAGTGGCAAACCAGCAAACTGGCCTTGAGCTTCTGCTCAAGCATGCAATTATCCAGCAAGAATGACTTGGCCGAGCAGCGTCGTGTAGGTCTTGCCAATGATCACTTTTGCAAGGCCCATATCCGTGAGCTTCACCCTGCCCTGCTCGTTCCTCCGCAAAACTGTTTCTCATAAGACAGCTGGTGCGGAACTAGTGGCCAAATTATACACTGCAAATGGCAGTTTCAAAGTACGTAGAATGGCCCATGCAGGTGCAGCAACTTCCGATAAGTTGAGGTGCAGGAGCAGGTTCTCAGGCTTCAAATCGCCTGGAAAAGGCAGGAGATGCTGTCCAAGCGCACCAAAGAGCTCATGGCTGCCACCCGAAGCCAAGTCACGGAAAACGATCTTCTTGCCTAGGTAGTCACACTACATTATCGAAGTACTGTCCGTGACTCATTTGTCGACATGACCAATTCACGCCACTGTAAGTTGCATGTGGCATCATGAGGCAAAAGCCAGATGCAGCTCTAGGTCATTCAGCCGTGGGGCTGTGCAGATGCTCAAACGCCAGCACAACACCTGCAAGGTAGAATTTGGCGTGAGGCTCCTGCACATCTTGGACAGGTAAATGTCAAGTGGCTGCTTCCAGAAGCCATGCCACGTTGACCCCAAGCAGGCCGTTTCAGAATTGCTGCAGTATTGAAAGTTCATGCTCGGAGTACCGCTGAACCAGCTGGAAGCGTGCAGGATGATGCCAGCATGATCCTAGGGTCAGGTCCTTGCCGAAGAGTCCCTTCTTGTTGTATGTGGCATAGAGTTCACCCCCGAGCGCCAGTTCCTGCATCGCACCATGTCACTGCTCTTCATATTCGTCTCTGAGGTCATCGCGCGGTCCATGCAAGGCTACCCGGATGGAACGAGACTGCTGCATCACAGGGTCCAGCAGAAAGTACAGTGTCTGGCTGCCATTGTACGTCTCAAAGAGCTTGACCTCATGAGGATGGTCTTCAATATGCATACACTTCCCTGCACCTGCTGGCAACTGACCTAGAACCCAATCATCATGAACCAGCTTTAGATGCTGTCGGGTTGTAGATCCACACCTTCCAGCCATTATTCGGGCTCGCCAGTCGAAACTCTGGACATGACAGCTTAGCAGCAAGGTGTGACATGTCGTGCGTTGCCGGAGTGACACTGCACCTGTCGTGTCAAGTCGTGCAATCTGCTTGACCAAGGCAGCCGAGGCGCGATGAAAGGCGAATCACACATAAGCTGAACGTTCTTCTCGCTCATCACACTTTGTTGCATGCCGGACTTGACGACGTAGCCCTTGCCTTGAACCGAAGACAAGTCAGTCTTGGGCAATGGGACTTCGCGGGCGTTGCAGATGTAAGTTCATCTGGCCGTTAGTCCAGCAAAAATCTTGCGGAACTGATTAATCTCTTATGCTTGAAGCGAATGGTCGCTTGACCACCGCATCCGCCCTCCACCTGCCCAGCTACGACCCAGGAGCCTCGAACAGCCAAGTTTTACGTGCAAACAGTTAAACAATACATGGATGTACGGTAGCACAAATCCTGCAAGCGTGCAACAAATTCTGGACAATTTCGTTGAGCACGACGGCTACTGCTTCTGCCACTTAGCAGGACTGCCACTAGCAGCCACTAGCACTTGCACTACACCAGCACCAGCGGCATTAGCGCTAGCAACTGCCAAGTCGCTACCAACACCACCACCACCACCACCACTACCACAACCAAGACCGGTACTGGTACTGGCAAAGGGGCTGGCACTGGTACTGCTGCTGTTACTGCTCCTGCTACTCCTACACCAACTATTAGTACTACAAGTACTAGTACTAGTACTAGTACTACTCCTACTACTACTGCTACTACTGCTACTGCTACTGCTACTGCTACTGCTACTGCTACTGCTACTGCGACCGCTGCTGCTACCGCTACCGCTACCCCTACTGCTACTGCTACTACTACTACTACTACTACTTCTTCTACTACTTCTGTTACTGCTACTGCTACTGCGACTACTACTGCTGCAATTACTACTATCACCACCACCACTACTACTGCGACTGCTATTGCTACTGCTATTGCTGCTGCTAGTACTACGGCTAGTAGACTAGTACTACTACTGCTACTGCGGCTGCGACTGCTCCTGCTAGTACTACTGCTAGTACTACTATTCCCTGTACCGACTACGACGACGACGGGCCATTGCTGCTGCACGTGGTTCTGCTACTGCTGCTTCTGTTCCTGCTGCTGCTCCGGCTACTGCTAGTGCAAAAAGTAAAAGTAAGTCACCAACTAGCTAATTCACTCAGAAAATACCTAACTCTACTGCACGCATCCGAATAGAAATCGGAAAGGATGGTACTTGATTTTGGCATTAAATCCTCATGTTGACTTGGGCCCCCCTTCGTGCAGGGTTGTTCGTTGTCGTTCGGTTATCTTTGCCTTTCGCGACGGTCAGGAATGTGGTCGTTCTCTCCCCCTCCCTGTTCCTCTACGTTAACTTGTCATGTTAATATGCACCCAAGTGGTCACTAGTCAGACACTTGTTTGTGCTGTATATGCAGTTGTCCTTCTTGCTACTACTGGTAAGTGTGAACTGAACAAGGCCCGTAACAAGGCATTTCAATTTCCCTCTCTCGCACTCCCTCTCTCACAGCTTCGGAAGCCACAGGTCTCAGGTCAGGGCTAAGTGCCTTAAGGGCATACGTCTCGGCAGTCGAAACCTCAGCCAATGGCCGACGGAAAGTGCCGCTGTAACGTTATACGAAGTGCAGCCTCAAGTTGGTCACTTCTCAAACGGGTCCTGCATTGAGGCAACCAACATGCAATTTGATGCCACAGTCCTTGATGGGGCCATGCGTCTACTCTAACGTTTGCCAAGCTGCATGCTCCACGAGTTCCACAGCTCCGAAACCACCACATCCAAGAAGTCCCAGCTGCTTCAGGTGCTTCCTGGTACATACAGGGCCTACGCTGCCAAGGCTTGCCGTGCTGTACAGACACGTCAGGTCTGTCCTCTCGATGTTGCCGAAACGCTTTGACGTTCCTGGCATCTTGCGGTGTTCCATCAGTCCATGACTGCGAATAGTCGGAAGCAGTGCCCCGCGAGAGTGGCTATCACAGCGGAGAGATGGTGCCGAATGCCAAAACTCCCCGGCCTGAAAACTACAGGGGCCTCGGGGTGTGGGGTGCCTCGCTGCACATCCATCTTAAGCGGCGAGGGTCCCGGTGCTCGTGCAGTCCTCTAGTGAACCGGAAAGTATGGCCTGCACTAATCGCGCCCGGCTGCTTCACCGCGCTGGGGGCATCCTTCAGCTGGGTGCTTCGCGTTGGCCCATCTTGCCCTACTACGCTCTCGTTCCTCTGCACTTCCGGGCTCCTTTCCACGCTTGTTGAGCTGCTCGAGAGGCCCGAGGATCATGTCAAAGGTGGCCTTGTCCATGACCAGGGCCTGAAGTTCACTGGAGTTCTTACCAATACCCTCAAGCCCAACACCTGCGATCAGCTCTTCTCCAAGACCTTGTAAAACAGTCCTAAACAGCTTTGGAGCTTTGCTTGTGGCCTCGTCATTTTTTGAAGATTTTGAAGGACAACCAATGCGCCGAAGGCTTTAAGTCTCGCCGATCTTGCTCGAATCATGTTGAGCGTACCAACATCCGGGGAGGTAGTGGTAGACAAATATAGTTTTAGCATGATTGCATTCGGATTGCGACATGCGCTCCAAACATTTAACACGAGCCTGCAGCGACAATGTTTGCACATGCGTTGCAGCCCCATGCTGATGCTTGAGCCACTGCATATACTGCTAGGCATTCACTGGCCTTCGCCGCATCAGAGGTCACGCTAATAGTTGCAATTCGAGGCTCCTCGATGCAACAACTGCGGCAGCAATCGCTGGGAGTGCACATAAACCCGTGTTCAACCTCGTGTCAGTTTGGCCAGGCTCAGTCCAGCAAAACAGAATCAATGCAAGCGTGCTTGCTTGTGTTTGTGTCAGGAAGTCCTTGGTGAGCAATGCTCGCTCGCCAAACATTGGAGCCTGTGCACCAGGGTTGAGCACTCTTTCAGTGTGGAACTACACACCTAGGCACCCTGGCCCTCACGACAGCACATGACAGCACAAAGCTACTTTTGCTTTGCTGTCGATGGCGCGGCTCAAGGCGTTGGAATCGCTCCCATCAAGCACAAACTGGAGCAAATCACTACGTACACCTTTTGAGCGGTGCCCTCCGTGTCAACGAAAGCTTCATCACAGGAACCAAAACTTCACCACAGGAGAATCGCTTCCTCAGTGGCTGTACATCCTGCCTGCCTGGACTCGCGACTCACGAGACCTAGAAGCATGGATTCAATGTGCCTCCTTGCCAGATGCTTTGAGGCGAGTTTGTTCGATGCCATCCTTTATGACCGCCACCTGCCCAGCTATCGAAGCTTGACACTGCGTGGTCTCAAGACTGCGAGGCCGGCGGACACGCCTCGCCCTCGACCAAGATGTAGAATGCGTCGCCTGCCTCGCCCTGCTGAAAGACATCCTGCACTTCTGCTGCAAGGTTCAGTCTTGGTTGCTAGCATCCTTCCGTGGTCTACAGCCAGCAACCCCTCGGTGGCAACATATTCTTCAAGCAGGGCTCCTCGTTTTTTGAAAACGACATCTCTGTCAGGGCTTTCCTCAGGAGTACCACGACTCTTCCGCATGTGTCGTGCTAAGAAAGGAATGCCTCGTCCAGCAATCAGCTTAACAGCCTAGCTGGCGAGCCCATCCGACTGCAAGCTGCAGCTGCCTAGTACCAGAGGAAGCTTTGCAAGAAGAAAGATCGCCAATCCGCTACTGGTACCGAGATGCGCTACTGCTTCTTTTTCGTCTTGCTTCAGCTTCGCGAGCACCTGAACCTTGGAGCACGAATGGAAGAAGACACTGGGAAGCTACTTCAGATGCAGCTTGCATGGGCATGTAACAGATCAACCGCTGCCAAGTCTCCTTATCCAGGTATGAAATATACTCCTGCATGCATCACCAGAATTGCCATCTTCTCAGCGCAGGTGTAAGCCACATCTGCATGAAGATACTTTGGAGGCGAGTTCAGTCCTTGACAATGTCATCCGCCGACTTTGCCAGTGTGTCCTTGAAGGTCTTCCTGTCGATGACCCAGACCTGAACTGATGCGTTAAAGTCATGGGTTCGGTGCTCCTTCCAAGCCATTGACAAGCGTCTGATCAGATAGGACCCCGGGGAACGGCATAGCTTCAACCAAATCCGAAGCAGCTGAAAACGCAAGCCCCAGTGACACCGCCTTGGTTATCGACACCTGCAAACTCGAGTTAGGGGAGGCTTAGTGGGGTCAAGACCAACAATGTCACAGACAGATGCTGGCATTGTGCCTGGATCCGGTGAAAAGCTCATCCATTCAAGCCAGATTGGAAGTTTGACATGTGGGGAAGGCCTCCTGCCGCTTGCCCTTTCCGAGCTTGTGCATCATCTTCAGGTTCTGCTATCGCTAGAGCTATTCACCACCGCACCATCCACCATCAGCACATCACGCCCCAACCCAAATCAGCAGAGCAATGAAGAGCCAAGTCGCCACCGAGTCCTGGACTGCTCGAACCGAGGCAGCTCGCGGTGCGAAATACAGCAACGCCAGCCTCAGCCCCCAGGTGATGCATGCAGGAGCCCACACCCTGAACACGTTGCACCGAGGCAAAATCTAGAGTTATCAACACAACACAGTTCATGAAAGGGACCAGCAGTCAGGTGAAGGACTTCGGCTGACGCAAGCTAAAAGCTGAAACAGCATCCGACCCTGTACTCGGTCTGTTCTTTCTTGCATCGTGAAGTCACCGCGTTTGCATCGGCTCTCGGCCTGTCCCTGGCGCCCTGCCGAAACTACGCTAGGCTCGACAGGCGAACAAACTCCCAAGACTGCGGGTGTCCGCTGCGGAGCTGTCGCGACGGCACAGGCGGCTTGCCGGGTGCACGCGATGGTTATGTTTCCAGCATGACCACTGTGAGATTGCATCGTTGAGAATCACGACATGCCAATCCGTTCCCGGCCAGAGGAAGCTGCCGCAAAGAAGCTCTTTGTCGAGCCACTAAGATCTCATGAAAGTTCTAAGCATTCTAAGCAGCCCAGTAGCTCCCCAAAGCTGCCGCCAGCCGACACTAGCCCCAAATTCTGCGCCGCCGCCTGCGACGCTCTTTTCAACTGGACAGGCTCAGGCTCCAAAAGGAAAGCTCATCGCTGCCTAGCGACCGTCTACACGGCACCTCTATCCCACAAGGAACAAGGCGGTCAGCCCTGATGCTTCAGAGAAGTCGACACTCTGATCTGATGAGCTTGTGGGTACCCGACCCCTTCGAGCCTTTCCAACCTATCTGAGCCTATCCGCATTCTGCCTCAAGTGCGCTTGATCCAAGGTCCGGCAGATCCCAAAGAACAACCCCAAAAGATGGTCAAGCAAAGACTTGTGCGCCACAACACAGGAGTTACTTCCGATGCCTTTAGGGATCCCCCATGAAGTGGCCGCATTAACTTTTTGAATCCTCGACAATATGGTTTCCCAACCAACAGATCCTCCTCTGACACGACGCAGAAAGCAGGTCGGTGTCCTGTATACTGACGCTTCTGCATGGAGGAGACACCGTGAATATCACAAGTGTGCTCACAAGTCGAAAGAGCTTTCGCGAAATGTCTGAACGGCCTGCGCCGCGTTGGCGCTCTTCGCTTGGGTCTCATTCTGCCCCATGGAAATGGAAAACTTTCCGCTCTGAACCTTGAAGGCGGAGCACAGGCTCGCAGATTTACGAACGGCTGTAAAGGACACCCGCCGAGAAGCAATGTAAAAATAATCAGCGCTGAGATCACCCTCCTGTCCGTGGCAACTCCAGACAGCTGCAGCGAGCAGGAAAGCTTCAGTTGCCACATGTTGGACATAGACTTCAAGTGGCGACCTTAAAGACCGTCATGCAGAGCTCACTGTGTCACTGGGTGCTGAGCGACGTCAAGGCCGTTGAGTCTCTTGGCTTTCGCTGCTTTTGCTTTTTGAGATGCACATGTCGGGTTTGGTCATTTGCCAACTGCAAGCTCAACGATGTGCAACGCAGCGGGCTCTGGAAAAGCAAAACACAAGTTGCACAGCATCTCGTGCGTCCTGTATGAGTTCCTTTCCAATGGAAACTTTCTCTTTCCTGAGTGGGAGAAACACCGTGCCCTTTCCGCTCGACAACTTGCTGCATACTCCTTTGGTGCTCGTAGCCGCCGAGGTTCCAGGCAGCATCGACCAGCACGGCGATTTGCTTATCTGTAAGTGATACACAGCTTGACCTCGGAAGACACAGAGCAGAAAGAAGAAGGGAATTGATTGAAAAACAGCTCCTCCCACGACATCTGCAGGTCACAAGAGCTTGCAGCATTTGGACAGCTTCACCTTCATGACTCGTACCTAACACCTGGGACCATGAGCAAACTGTCTTTCTGCTGACATGCGTCAGGTTCTGATTGCTTTTGAGTGCTTGGACCATCAATTTCCGCTCCTTGGATGGGGCAGGCTGGATTTGCTAGCCTCTGGAGATATTTTTCCAGCCCTATGGCACTATGGCCACTATGGACTGTCAATGCTGGCTGTATTTGGCTGTGTTCCAAGCATTCGGGCAGAAGCATTCTCACTAAGATATTCTGTTCTGGCACGGTGGGCTAAGCATCAAGAGAAATAGATGTGTGCTGCAAGTGTGAGTAGTTACAAGTAACAACGAGGCCAGATGCTTCGGCCGTCTTTGGGCTGGGCGGCTTGACCTTAGGCCACTGCAAGGCAACTCGTGTGACATGCTGCGCAACAGCAGAAACTCGCATGAGACGAAGAATTCACAAGCACAAACTGGGAAAGATGCCTCCAACTGCTTGATGGCCCCACCAGCTACAGCCTGTCCAGGGATCTGCTGATAGAGTCACACGAAATACAATCCACCAGCAAGTGCTCAGCTGTGCTTGCACAAGAATACAGAGGGAACCACCTGTGCCTGTAAACTGCATCTGAAAGCTGACAGAAATCAGCCCTGCAATGCAGGTTTCAGAGTGAAAGCCATCTTGCCTTGCGCTGTGGGAACTCAAGCTTTTCTCTGAGACCCATCTCCTGGCAAGTACACTGCTTGTGGCAATGGCATCATGTTTCACAATTCCCGCGACATGTGCTGCCATCAATCATGGCAACCAGACATCGGGAACAAGTACAATCGAAGCTCTCAAGCGAGTCTGCCACCGCACATCCTTCTGGCACGTATTCAGAAGCTTTGGGTCTCTCAACTACATCTTCCAATGACTACTGAGCCTGACACCACAAACCTTGATGTAATGATTGGCTGGGTTTCCGAACACTGTCTAACAGCCCACAAGCAGCAAACATCATGGCCTCGAACTTGCTCCGTGAGATCCTTAGTCTTTGATGGCACCATACTTGGGACAAGAAACGGAACATGACAAGTACGGCCGACCCCGATCGAAAAAGGATGAATGAGGTTGGCATCGACTCATGGGTGCTTGCCCGCAGTGTGTCAGTCCTGGTGTTTACAGGACCTGATCCTTGTAAGTTTAAGTCTCCTCTGGGTCTCTTTTGTGCAGGTGTCAGTTCCGCTTGTACGCCTGCATGTCGTCAAGCTGCTTCACACGCAACTTTTCAAACTCACACGAGGCCCATGTGTATTTGGGGCACATTCCAGATCACACTGGGGCTCGTTAAGATAGTCTCTATTTGGTCCAACCCGCATCACTTCACTTTTGGAAGAACTGGCAGTGTGATGACAAGATTTACATCTTTCAGTAGCAATTTGTTCGTTTCCCATGTTTCCCTGCAGGGGTGGCAACGCAACTTGCCGCTTGGCCTTACAACGGCTGCAGAAGTCCCAAATGGAGCAGAGTCAGCTCTTGCTGAGCACCACTTTAGCAGCTTTAGCAAGTTTGCCTGAAGCTTGCAGAGGTCGCGCATCTTGGTCCACGAATCAGGGTATTTGTGGATCCCTTGTCCTTGTTCAACCATGCCGCTTTGGAAGGTGCTTGTATTTGCATTGCCTGCTCCTTCTTCGGGAAGCAGCTCCGCTACTCGTCTCTCCGGCGGGGATTCATACAGCGTTTTTCCCGAATGCTCTGCAGAAGGGTTCCCGTTTAAAAGGTTGGGGTCCAGGGCTCCAGCCGCTGACCCGCGACCGTGGTTAAAGCGTTCGCGAAGCGTCCGCGAAGCGCAAGCGTCCGCGAAGCGTTCGCGTGTGACGCCGGGTGTGTCGCGCAGCGCTGTTAAGGGGAACTCCACAGAACGCGCGTCCGGGCTGCGTTCTGAATCCCCCAAGCTAAGGAGAAACTCCACAGAACGCGCGCGTCCCGAGAAGTGTCGCGCAGTGCTGTTAAGGGGAAACTCCACAGAACGCACGTCCCGAATGCGTTCTGAATCCGTCAAGCTGAGGGGAAACTCCACAGAACGCGCGCGTCCCGAGAGGTGTCGCGCAGCGCTGTTAAGGGGAAACTCCACAGAACGCGCGTTCGGGCTGTGTTCTGAATCCCCCAAGCTATAAGGGGAAACTCCACAGAACGCGCGCGTCCCGAGAAGTGTCGCGCAGTGCTATTAAGGGGAAACTCCACAGAACGCGCGTCCCGAATGCGTTCTGAATCCCCCAAGCTAAGGGGAAACTCCACAGAACGCGCGCGTCCCGAGAGGTGTCGCGCAGTATCGCGCAGTGCTGTTAAGGGGAAACTCCACAGAACGCGTGTCCCGAATGCGTTCTGAATCCGCCAAGCTAAGGGGAAATTCCACAGAACGCGCGTCCCGAGAGGTGTCGCGCAGTGCTGTTAAGGGGAAAAAGAAGTGTCGCGCAGTGCTGTTAAGGGGAAACTCCGGCAAGCTAAGGGGAAACTCCACAGAACGCGCGCGTCCCGAGAAGTGTCGCGCAGTGCTGTTAAGGGGAAACTCCACAGAACGCGCGTCCCGAATGCGTTCTGAATCCGCCAAGCTAAGGGGAAACTCCACAGAACGCGCGCGTCCCGAGAAGTGTCGCGCAGTGCTGTTAAGGGGAAACTCCACAGAACGCGCGTCCCGAATGCGTTCTGAATCCCCCAAGCTAGGGAAACGCCACAGAACGCGCGCGTCCCGAGAAGTGGCGCGCGGTGCTGTTAAGGGGAAAGTCCACAGAACGCGTAACGTGCACGTCCCGAGAAGTGTCGTGCAGTGCTGTTAAGGGGAAGCTCCACAGAACGCGCGTCCCGAATGCGTTCTGAATCCGCCAAGCTAAGGGGAAACTCCACAGAACTGTCGTGCAGTGCTGTTAAGGGGAAACTCCACAGAACGCGCGTCCCGAATGCGTTCTGAATCCGCCAAGCTAAGGGGAAACTCCACAGAACGCGCGCGTCCCGAGAAGTGTCGCGCAGTGCTGTTAAGGGGAAACTCCACAGAACGCACGTCCGGACTGCGTTCTGAATCCGCCAAGCTAAGGAGAAACTCCACAGAACGCGGCGCCCGCGTGTGACGCCGGGCGTCTGCCGTGGTCGCGCTTCTTTTTTTTAGGTTGTTTAGTTTCCCGAATGCTCTGCAGAAGGGTTCCCGTTTAAAAGGTTGGGGTCCAGGGGTCCAGCCGTTGACCCGCGACCGTGGTTAAAGCGTTCGCGAAACGTCCGCGTGTGACGCCGGGTGTGTCGCGCAGCGCTGTTAAGGGGAAACTCCCCAGAACGCACGTCCGGGCTGCGTTCTGACTCCGCCAAGCTAAGGGGAAACTCCACAGAACGCGCGCGTCCCGAGAAGTGTCGCGCAGTGCTGTCAAGGGGAAACTCCACAGAACGCGCGTCCCGAATGCGTTCTGAAACCGCCAAGCGGGAAAACTCCACAGAACGCGCATCCGGGCTGCGTTCTGAATCCTAAGGGGAAACTCCACAGAACGCGCGCGTCCTGAGAAGTGTCGCGCAGTGCTGTTAAAGGGAAACTCTACAAAACGCGCGTCCCGAATGCGTTCTGAATCCGCCAAGCTAAGGTGAAACTCCACAGAATGCGCGCGTCCCGAGAAGTGTCGCGCAGTGCTGTTAAGGGGAAACTCCACAGAACGCGCGCGTCCCGAGAAGTGTAGCTAAATTAGCTAAGGGGAAACTCCACAGAACGCGCGCGCGTCCCGAGAAGTGTCGCGCAGTGCTGTTAAGGGGAAACTCTACAAAACGCGCGTCCCGACAGCATTCTGAATCCGCCAAGCTAAGGGGAAACTCCACAGAACGCGCGTGTTCGCGTGTGACGCCGGGTGTGTCGCGCAGCGCTGTTCAGGGGAAACTCCACAGAACGCGCGTCCGGTATGCGTTCTGAATCCGCCAAGCTAAGGGGAAACTCCACAGAACGCGCGCGTCCCGAGAAGTGTCGCGCAGTGCTGTTAAGGGGAAACTCCACAGAACGCGCGCGTCCCGAGAAGTGTAGCTAAGGGGAAACTCCACAGAACGGGCGCGTCCCGAGAAGTGTCGCGCAGTGCTGTTAAGGGGAAACTCCACAGAACGCGCGTCCCGAATGCGTTCTGAATCCGCCAAGCTAAGGGAAACTCCACAGAACGCGCACGTCTCGAGAAGTGTCGCGCAGTGCTGTTAAGGGGAAACTCCACAGAACGCGCGTCCCGAATGCGTTCTGAATCCGCCAAGCTTAGGGGAAACTCCACAGAACGCGCGCGTCCAGAGAAGTGTCGAGCAGTGCTGTTAAGGAGAAACTCCACAGAACGCGGCGCCCGCGTGTGACGCCGGGCGTCTGCCGTGGTCGCGCTTCTTTGTTTTGGGTTGTCGCCAAGCTAAGGTGAAACTCCGCAGAAGGCGGCGCCGGCGTGTGACGCCGGGTGTGTCGCGCGGCGAAGAAACTCCACAGAACGCACGTCCGGACTGCGTTCTGGATCCGCCAAGCTATAAGGAGAAACTCCACAGAACGCGGCCCACAGAACGCGCGCGTCCCGAGAAGTGTAGCTAAGGGGAAACTCCACAGAACGCGCGCGTCCCGAGAAGTGTCGCGCAGTGCTGTTAAGGGGAAACTCCACACAACGCGCGTCCCGAATGCACACTGAATCCGCCAAGCTAAGGGGAAACTCCACAGAACGCGCGCGTTCGCGTGTGACGCCGGGTGTGTCGCGCAGCGCTGTTCAGGGGAAACTCCACAGAACGCGCGTCCGGTATGCGTTCTGAATCCGCCAAGCTCAGGGGAAACTCCACAGAACGCGCGCGTCCCGAGAAGTGTCGCGCAGTGCTGTTAAGGGGAAACTCCACAGAACGCGCGTGTCCCGAGAAGTGTCGCGCAGTGCTGTTAAGGGGAAACTCCACAGAACGCGCACGTCTCGAGAAGTGTCGCGCAGTGCTGTTAAGGGGAAACTCCACAGACCGCTCCTGCGAAGCGTCAGATCACGTTGCAGCAAGCCGTGGAGCTCCATGCTTTACTGCACGTTTGCACTAAACGTGTCTTCATCGCGAGGATAAGCGTCGCCGCCTGCATCACGAACAACGCATCAGCGGCGACGTTGACAAGAGTGGTGTCATCACGGGGTGAAGGGACGGCGTGACGTGGAGGCGTTGGTCTTGTCCACTGACCGTGGGCAACACCATGAGCTCTGCGAATCAGCTGCTGATGAATGTGGAGCTCCATGCTTGGCCGTAGCTGTTATAGCTAAGGTCAGGAGATAAGCAGAGACTGGCGATGATGTTATCTAACGTACACGACGTGGTGATACCACTCTCGTGCTGCCCTGACCAGCGACCGTTGTAAAAGCGCCCGCGAGACGTTCGCAAGCGTTCGCGATGCGTTCGCGAAGCGAAATGTTTTTTTTCATTTTCATCGCAAACAGGTAGGCTTGTGAAGTGCCTCTGCAGAAGGAAAAGAAGTCAACTCGCTATGGCTAGGGGTTTCTTTTAAGCAATCAAAAAGAACCTGATAGGGGCCCTATAGGGGTTGCGGTATATGCGTTACGTGTGTCTGCATTCGGGTTCGTGGCCCCTATCAGGTTTTCTCGCTCCTGTAGATTGGTGGAAGTTACGGCGCAAGGCTGAAGCATTCCTTCGCAGCGGCCGCTACTAGCACTCCTCTGAGCCTCCCAGTTGGCAATGCATCAGCCTTGTGAACTTGAGTGCTGTTCGTTGGCACGCTTCGGCATTGGGGCTTATCCGTCTACAACCATCCTCAATACAGAGCAAAAGTTGAGCAGCTTAGGAGTATGGTCCACCTAGTGCGAAGCTTTGTGCAAGCGTGGATCAGCTAGCTTCTGACCGTTTCAACATGTGCGTATCGTTATCGTAATGTGGAGACACGTCGACACCCTCAACCAGGCAGTGTACCTACCAGTGCCACGAACTTTGACAGATTCCCTGCTCCAGGAACGAACCACATCGTCAGCTCGGTGGCCATTGCACCACTATTTGTATGCGCTATTCGTTCAGACAAGCAGCACGAAAGTCTGCAGCTCCGACTTGGCAACTATTGATGCTGTTCTTGGCTCGTCCCGAAGCAATGCATTCTCACCGAAGTAGTCGCCTCCGAGCAAACAGCATAGCAGCAGACAGGAACCTTCTCAGCACCACTCGCTCCGCAGCTCATGCTACGCAAATCTTCAATCGGAGGAATGCTGCCCTTCTGCTCTGGCCGATACTTCCCAAGCAGATTCCTCCAATACACTCCTGCTCGTGAGAAGGACACATCTAGTCATTGTCTGCGACGACACCAACGGCTAGCAAGCTGCATTTCCGTTGTGGTTGCAAGTGCACATCAGAGATACGTTTTAACAGCTTGGGTGGGCTTAATGCCGGGCCGCCTTGCTTAAGAACGGCCACTTCCGAACCACCAACTGCAACGGAGGCCTGGGAATTGCAAGTCGTGGCTTTGACAAAACCACATGAAGAGTCAGGAGCAGCTAGCATGTCATGTGCATCCAGAACCCTGTATAGCAAGCGTAGACAACCCCTACTACAGAAACATGCAGGCATTCCACGCAAGTTAACTCACACACACACACACACACACACACAAACTAGTGACGCGGACTCGCTTGCAAGTGGTGTCCGGCCCAGCATTCGGCTCACTGCTATTCTGTCAGTGTTAACAGAAGAGATGCCTGTATTGCACGCTTTAAGCCTAGTCATGTTGCCGGCAAGCGCCACCTTGTCGGCACTCCGACGCCCACGAACATTCGACTGCAATGCGCTGAACATGGAAGTCTTTCTCGTCTAAGAGTAGTCTGACCCACTGCAACCATACATTTTGGAGTAACCGAGAGACCCACCACACTGACGAGCTGGATAATAGCATACGCACGGCTCAGTACGCACACAGTCGGAGTCGGCTCGGGGCCCTTCAGAGTTGCACAGATAGTTTCCACTAAACCTTCTGTAGACCTCCACTTTCCTTCGTCGTTCAAGCCTTCCCGCCCCTTTGTTTTGCCTCACTGTCTCTCTGCCTTCTTGTGAAGAGCTACGACAGGCATCCTCTCTCCAGGTTTTCGCCCTCTCCCCATGCGTGTCACATCCGCATAGCAGCAACACCAGTGCTGGCTGTGTTGGCAAGAAGCATCGCCGGAGCGGATGATGTAGAAAGCATCTCCGACGTCCCCTTCAGTGATCACCTCGGCTTGAGTCGTCTGGGCAGACTGCCACCAGCTCATTGCTTCTCTTTGTGACAAACTCTGGAAACTCCGACCAACCTGGGATAGGCACTTTGTCACCAGAGCGGAACGTCTTCGGCTCGCATGCCATTGCTAAGGTCGGCAGCCTCATGTGTACATGCTCAGGCCTTTACGCCTGTACATTCAACCCATTGCATGAACCCTGGGCCATGTCACTATGTGCAAACGAGCAGCTCTGATTCAGGCAACCGCTGGAACAGCTTCACCTTCACGCGAATGGCGATTGGCTTCACGAGCGAAGTTCTTATCGAATCTAATCACTAATCACTATACTGATGTTGCCCAATCACCAATTCAGCCGGTCCCCTGCCGCCATCAACAACAGCCACATGCAAGCCACACTGGCTACACGGAGCGGAAGGAAGACCTGTGATTCGCCCTTCGCCCTCTCACGCCTGCGTCAGGAATTTGGAAGCACCCGATGGAGCAACCGGCCGACTTGCCCCTGCGGCAGAGCAGCAAAGTTGCGTTGCCATCACAATACCTAACGACCGCTAACGACCGAATGCGCTCCGCAAAGAGACTTCCTCGTCTCTATTAAGATGCATGCTGGAAACCTGTACGGAAAGGTCATGCAAAAGCTGACTGGAAATTCTCAGCCGACCTTTGGAATCGGACAAGTTCTGAGCCGGCACATCCTGCAGAGCGCAGGTAGCGAATCCGTGCCCACGGAGATTGACATACCGTGTGATCTTTCTCACATGTCGTGAGCTAATCTCTTGAAGCTTTAGGCATAGCCCGTACCAGAAAGGCCACTCGCCTCTGGAGCATGGCTGCAGTCTGAGCATAGTAGTGCTCCCATGACCCCACCACCTGCGTCGAAACAGGTGCAGTCGCTCGCTCACTTTGCCATGTACGCTCCACCTTCTGCAGCGCAAGCTGGCAGGGCGTGGGAGGTCTGAGAACTGAAGTCTGCAGGCACGACGTCGTTGCAGAGCTTGGGACAATCCTTGAGTCACGTGGCCTGCAGTAGCCCCTGAACTCTAGCCTGACTGCGGCTTCTCTGCGAAATGAACCCTTGAATGGACATTGCCTACTGTTCAAACCTGCCTCGGAAGTCACAGTGGATTGCTAGCCTTCCGCTACTCTGAGAACATGTACTGGCTGGTCTGTCAACTTCTGTGTCTACCTCGTTACTGTACTGGCAACAAGCGACAGAGACCTGGCAAGGGAATGACTTGCTTTTCTTAGATTTTTGTCGAGCCCAGAAATCGTGCAAAGCAGGCAAGTCTTTTTGCGGAAGGAACTGCAGAGAAACGGCAGATTTGCTTCAGGCGTGCTGCAAACCGCTCAGTCTGATTGCAAAAGAAAACACGCCGAGAGGTGTGCTTTCAAACTGAAGATGGCCGCTGTGGAGCCACGGAGTTGCGGGGAGTCTGCACCACCGTTGTACACTGCACACGCAGTGCTCAGAGGCTCCGCGCCCCTGCATTAGCTCTCAGTCGTCGGTGGCAAGGCAATGTTGACTTGGAGATCTTGACCGAGTAGAGACTGTAATCGAGTGGCAGGTGAACTCCGAGATGAAGCGAACTCTCCGCTCATGGCTCATGGGCCGGCCAGAGCCTTTGCTTCTCCAAGCAAATAGCACAGGACAGCCCTGCAAAGGATTTCGCCTCTGTCCTCAGCAAGCCAATGGAAGTTCCATCGCGGAATTCACTGCATGATGCTGAGACCACTGCCCACTTGTGAACGGCGGCGGTGTAACCTTGCGCTCGAAGGGTTTCGTCGGGTGGACGGCCGAGTTGCTACTTCCAGACCAAACTCCAAAACATGGATCTGTAGGGATACCATGAGAATCTTCAAATTTACAGAATCGGAAAACAACAAATAAACACAAACAAACAGTAAAACACATGTAAACAGTTGAACCAGAAACGAATGACAGCGAATGACATATATGGGGATAATTGGACAACCAATGTGATAAACATGGAATAACAAAACCAGAATTCAGGGACAAGTAGAGAATCCTGGGAAATAGTGAGCGACTATGAGAACCAAAACGATTTGCAACAGCAAATTACAGGAAAATCCTTAACAATCCAAGAACAACAAAGAATACATGTTGGTCCTAGACTTTCTACGGTTTAGCTTGCGCGGTTTTTGGAGCCTTACAACTTAGGGTTTTGGAAGCTTCAGCCCTTGATTTTGAGGGGCTGTTGTAGCTTTTGGATCCTTTGACTAGCTTGCCAAACGGTAGACCTCCTTCCTCAAGCATTCCAAGAGTGCCGAGCATCGTCTCATTGTCGTTGCACTGTTTTTACATCGTCGTTCCGCGTCGCGGTGTTTTCGTCGCTCCGTTGTCAGAAGCAATAGACCGACGCGGTGGGAGGGTTTGCCAGCTGCCGGCCTCATAGAAACCGCGGCTGTGTGGGCTCAAGATACGGAGGGGGCTCTGCGCAAGAACCTGGCTAAGAACCTTCGGCTCCCCTACCTTCCGCATGCAATTCAGACAGAAGTTCAAAACTTTAACGTACCCAAACTTAAACCTCCGCTGGGCTCGGTTCTTACACACCGCTTCCGCTTTACATAGTGAAACATGCACAAAGCCAGAGAGAAGCTTTCGTCTTGCCTCTGCGGCGTTCGGTGGGAGTCAGTTCAATTCCCTGACCTCGCCGTTTCCTCTTCACTGGTATATGTCCGCACCTCTGACATGTCTTCTTACATGTCTACAGCGAACTCGTGAGCCCTGTCTCCGCTTCTCCACGACACTAACGACACCCTTGATGCCCATTAACATTAACAGTGAACTGAGTAGGCTACGAGTCCCGCTACGCTTTAAAGTTCTTTGGGTGTATTTGTGGCTTTGGGCTTAGGCTTGAGGGGTTTACGTTCAAGGTCACAAGAAAGGCCGCTTGTCCACGATCTTGTTGGAAGTTCGTACAAGAGGATATTCGCTTCAGGTCTCGGGTTGCAGGGGGTGGGCATTTGGGAAGTATGGGATTCATTACACGCGTGAAAAAACCGGTGTGGTCGTGTGTATCCAGTAGTGTTATGGCCCGTGCTGGCATCGGACCGGCACATACCATGTGCTTATATGTGCTTGCTAGGACATGCTAGGACCTCGTATGCATGAGAGCAAGTCCATGGAGTGCTTTTGGGAAGATGCAGAGAGGCTGACTTGATGACGCGAGCAGCAGTCCTGAGACCTTCGGAAGTCGGGAGGGGGGGTGGAGGGCAGATGCCACGATTGCATACGCTTTTTGGTCAGGGAATGGCCGAAGGGCTTGGCACGGAATCGGATGAAGATGGCTATTACTTACATGGGAAGCAACAAACGCATATGTCGCAGAAACCCTCGCTGCAGCGCTTCGTAGGCAAAGCTGCGCTGAGCTTGCGACGGGGGTCGATGCCTTCAAGACCATAGAAGGCACCAGCGAGCTGTCCTAGCAGCACATGCGCCCGTCAAGAACTGGCTTGCTTTGCTATGTCAGTTTGTCGAATTGGTTCCCACTGCACGCTCAACACACAGCCTGCGATCGCACCCACTGTATCCGCATCGCCCAGGAAGTTTACAGCCTCTACGGGAGCTTGTCAGGCCATGGTTGAGAAGTCACGTTGCAACAGGCCAAAGTAGTGACTGGGCAGGCAAGGTCAAGCAAAGGCACGACACGAAATGCAGCATTCCGCGCACACAGTAACATCCTCATTTACGTCCGGACCGCAGGTATGGGGCATCGCTGCTTCAAAAGACAACTGCAGAGTCATGCTACACGGAGTTGTCTAAGCAACACCAGCCGATCTGCTCGTGGCCGATCGACGCCAGTCAAAGAGGAAATAGCAACCGTCCAGGATCGTATAGCGCATCTACAAGAATGGAAACAGATCACTGCAATCGCACAGAAGCAGTTTCTGAGCTCGACCAAGGTCCCGGCTTTCTCTATAGCTCGGTGGAAGCTCCTAGAGGCAGTCAAGGCACGTACAGTGAATAGTTCTGGGAACCGCAATTTGAAAAATGGTTGTATGTGGTCCACGCTTTTCATCGTTTTCTACGGCCCCTAACATTCCCTGGGATAATTAAACCGAGAGCCGCCAGAACGACTGTATCAATCCTCGACCGAGACAGCACTAGATCGTAAGATGTGGGGTTCCAGATTTTGGAGCTCGGACACATGCTACGCCTTATCACGTCACCCAGATTCAAGACCGGTGCACGCGACTGGTTTGCCACAACTTGCTTTGCCAAGGTGCTCGGTGCTCGCGACAGCATGGAGGGCCATGGCCTGATGCGAAACAGATTGGAATGCAGCAAAATGTTGGCGTCCCTTCAACTTATCCTTCAAAAATTTCGGAGGGCTTGCAGTCAAGCTTCTAAGCCGTCCATGCAATAGCCTCGGCTTACCATGTGCCCTGAAATGGGCCCGGAAGGGGTCTCGTCCAGACGCCAAGCTGCTTCCAGCGTAGCATCGGCTGACCGGATGCCCGTTATATTTCTCACCCCGGGCCCTGCCAGAACTCAGAAACTGCAAAGGTGGCTCCCAGACACACACACACACACACACACGCACACACACCCATGCACGCACACACGCACGTACGCACACATCACACACAAATGGAAGCAACAGTATCAGCTCAAAGCTTGTGTCCCTGTTTGCGCCTGAATGTTTGGAGAAGCTCCAATGATGGCTCTTGCCAGTTCCAACATCTCTCCATCGGCCCCTCCTCACAATTTGTCTCGAAGCACTTCAACGAAACCCAACTTTACCTCTGTGCTTTCCGACACAGAAACACGGCGAAAGGCGGATTGAAGGAGCAGCGGACAGAGCCAGGTCTGAGAGGCAACCGTCCAGAACAGGCAAAGCGGGTGTCCGGGCCCGGGGCCAAGAGGCGTTCATCATGCAAATGCAAATTTCCCTCGCTGGAAAGCAGCAGATGAGGAGGCAATGCCAAAACACCACGATCGGCAGCCCGGACGCCGGAGGCAATTGTATCAGAATCAGGGAAGCTCAGGAAACGGCAGCATCACGAACGAACTTATTTAACTTCCAGGCTTAACCCTCCGCAGTCACTTGACTTCGATCAGATACGCTTGTCGCAACGCAGCTTCAGCGCCTTGCTGGAAGTTGCTAGAGCTTGAATCTCGCGCAAGTCCGCAGAGCTGTGACACTCAGGATCCTGGACAGGACGGCCAAAAAAGTGTTTGTGTAAGGTGATAGACTCATAGACAAAGCATGACAAAGCTCGCGCCGCTCTGTGCACCGTGCCTCCGCCAAACGCTCTCCCAGGCGTGCTGCATACACAGCGCTTTGCCTTCAACGTATCTTCTGCATCACCACGAACATAAAAGGTACGTGACGCTGCTTCTTCCAGCCAAGCAACTGGATGAAGAACTCTCTCGCCGACATCTCTTCCTGGTGTCATGCAGCGGAGGCCTATCTGATATCGTGGCCATCAGCCCACCCCCCACAGTGTTATGGCGGTTTCAACGGTCCAACCAAGGACCTTATTTCCTCCATCTATCGTGCATTCGTTGTTTGCTGACCGCGAAACAGGATATCCAAACCCACCCCGCAGGGCAGAAGAGAGACCCCAGGCCGCAGGGGAGGGGGGGCCCCAGCTATATCCAGACCGGGGGAAGGGGCGTGCCCGCCCCTCCCCCCAAAGCCTAATGCGGTTTCGGGGGTGTACCTCCAAAGGGAGACTTAACACCAACTTTGCAGCTATCGAAGTTGCTGCAGGATAGTCAACAGGTTGACTAAACCAGGCACGATGTGCAGCTATGGTGACAATTTTGCCCGGGCCGCCAAGTCTATGTACAGTGGCGAACCCATGGTTTGTGAACATGTTGAAAATTTACACAGAACTTTTACACCAGCTCCGTGGCTTTGGTGGTCCGGCCGCCCTCCACTTAATTAAGAACCTCAGCGTAGTGTTCTCGAGGGACCTTGAGGGCACTCTGATGCTTGAAATGCTGACCCGGAGAGCACTCGACACGTCTTCGACTGACTGCATCTTTGACACGTTCATTTGACAAGTCCTGTCCTTTGCACTGCCCTTGCGGGTGCTTTGTGCACTGGGCCTGCCGGTTGATGGCGCTGTGCACCAGGAAGGCCAGGTATCGCGCAGTCTCAGTTGCCAAAACACCTGCTGTGCAGTCCATCGGTGCTAAGCTCTGTAGGAGTGTCCCTCCTAACCCAAGCAGCGCAAGAATCGGCCTGGATGTGTTGCAAGACTTGACCTGGCGGCAGCATCCAGGGCCTCCTCCGCAGGAGCACACGTCATTTCTGTGCGGATGTCGACCAGATCAGCCAGGTCGAACATGGGTTGGCTGCTCTACCTGGAAACTAGTGGTAAGTTGTAGCATCCATTCCTGGATGTTTCCATCCTCGCCCATGCATCTCCTGTTTTATACCAGCCATTGACAGTAAAGGAGAAGGCCTATCAGACCCTGGGCACTCGGTCGTTCACCATTCCACCATTCCTCTTAGACTGTCTCACTTATCATTAAGCCCCGGTTCCAGGAATCTATCATTAGGACATAGTTGTAATTGTAGGAATCTTGTTTCTGCCTCTAGCGGTGAGGTTATACTCCCATTATCGCGGCCCCAAAGTGGTTCATGGTGTTCTTGGGTGTCTAGTTTCTGGTTTGTTGCTTGAATCCCCTGCTTTGCTGCAGGCAGCTGGATGAAGCGCGGCAAGACACAAGCAACAACTTGCGGTTCGAAATGGGGTGGGCCATGGTGAAGCTACCCTTCCGATCATTGACACTTGGTCATTGCAGGTCCTCAAGTTGCTCAGGCCGACTGTAAAAGATCGGAACCTGCAGCAACACATCTTTCCCATGTACCTGTCATGCGCCTTCGACCTCCTACCAGTACTGTGTGCACTATGACATAAATTCAGTGCCAGCGAATGACGATTAGTTTAACATGTGCTGAGTGCTGGAGCTCGGCCAAGGCACGGGAGCCAATCGCATGAGGCCACCGTTGCCCGAATCACCTGTGCCGGAGCCAGTCGTCGAACTTAAGCCCAACAACTGCGTGGTGAGGGCCATAAGATCAAGCTGAACAACACATCAGTTTTTGGAAGTCAATGGAGATCTTTCTTGCAGGCCGGCCCACTACTGCCAGGATTCAGGTACTCAGGGTCAATGGGCTCGTCCGGATAGAGTGCAATCAAGCTCTTGGCCTCAGCACACTGGTTGCAGCAACACTGTGCCGACGTCTGCTCAACCAGCAACATAGAGTGCAAGCATGTCTCCTGTTTATTTAGGCAGGTGGCAATATTGTATCCCAAGCCGAAGCTGGTGCGTTTCTTACGATCGGGATCAAGTCGCCAGGGAGTGTTCATGGCCTCGAGCCGCTTCTGCACACAGCAAGGCTCCGCGATAAACATCAAAGACCATGAACCACGACTCCGGCTTGCTGAATCCAGAAGAAGGGGTTGGGAAGTCAACGGGCGTCTTCGCTGCTTATCGCCGACGCACTAGACTGCACACATGGAAAGAGTCTAGACTCTAGATCGCCGTAGCGTTTGCACATATCTTCCTAGCTTCTGCAGTGCACTCCGTGACACTGCTTTCGTAGCCATATTAATCACTCATATGCGGCGTGTGAGGATGGAACCCCATAATCGCGACGCAGCAGCCTCCGCATGCCAGCACCAAAATCCTCGGCGAATTGTCAAGGTTCCAGGTAGGCGTCGATCAGGCGGGGAAGCACCACACATTGCAGATGGAAAGGATGCAAGAACACTGCTGAAGGGATTGATGCGTCGAGGGATCTCTTCCGAAGATCACTCCCATCCAATTGTCCGCATATGCACAGCGAGTCAGCGAGGCAAAGTGCCTTGGCGTCTGGAGTGGGCGCACAGGAACCCACGTGACATTATCAAAAGACTTCTCAAAGAGAGACTACTGGGTGAACCGTCCAACTTCAAGTTTCCATTCCTGCAGGCCGCCATGGAAGTGTCGTCTGTCCACTGCCCTGGCTTCAGGATGCCTCGCTCAATCTCCTCGGTCACTGCTTACGAAAAATTGCAACATCTGCGCCTGGATGGAGTTGGGAGGGCAGAACAAGCTCGCAATAAGCCACTAAAACAAGCCAAGAAGCTGTGGTGTTCGGATTGTGGCAATGGAAACTATCCTGAGCTCAGTCCAGCATGCTCTGTGCAAATTCTAGCGAAAATCAGTACCCGCCATGAATCTCTGAATGTCACGGCAAGAGGCGTGGTCCCAGCGGCTCTCACCGGGATCATCCGTAACCTAAACACTGAAGCTGCGTTCAACACTTACTCAGCAGAACCCACATCCGATTTTGCTCAAACATCACTAGAAAATAAATTGCAACCTGCCCTTGTCTTATGCCGAAAACAGCTTAGATGCTGCTTCCAGCATTCCTGGATAAACAACGCTGTAAGTTGTGCTGGCCGCTGGGGAGTAATTGTGGATGCTGCTCCCTGTACGAGCAGAGTGTCCGACAGGATTTCCCTCAGACAGTCTACGAAGCCCAACTTGCGAACCGCAAGCAGCGAATACCGGTCGCGCCTCCAAGAATTCGAGAGGGGCGCCGACCTGACTCAGCTCTGTTTCCACTGTGCTTGCATCGGAGATCCTGCTGGAATGAATGTGCCACAAGCCTCATATTGTAAGAACTCCGAGACGGAAGCCAGCAAGGAAAACCGACAACTGCCTAAGTCTCTACACCGCAGAACGCTCAATCGGACTCTGGTGACTCCAGCTCTCAAATGCCCCACAAGCACACTGCAAGTAGCGTGGTGTGCCGTGACGCTGTGGCTGGATATGTCCAAACGTGAACCTTCCCCTTTGAAGTCGGCGCTGAGCTCAATGTGCCGAACGATCTTGCTGCAATGGCGCCCAGTCTGCCACTGCAAGTCCCAGCAGCGCACCGGCGGCACGTCTTGCTTGCTGAGGTGCCTGCAAGGGTTCTGTTGCGATGCCGGACCATGCCGGAATAACTCATCGTCAAACAAAGATGTCCCAACACTCCGTATCAACCACTCCGCGTTGGAAGCGTTCTTGCATTGAACAATAATTGCAATGCAAAAAACATGCCAGTATGCTCTCTGTCGCACACAGTCGGCGGCCCGAGGGCTGTTTAGACGGGGCTTCCAATCTCTCCTGCCATTGGATGTAAGGAGTCTTTGCTCGACATTCTATGGCTTTGTGGATTGAAGACATTCTGCATAGCAGCTTAACCTAGGCACGAACCGGAACAAGATTCAGTTCGAGACCACACGAGTACCGACTGCCAGTTGGGATGCAGATTCGGCACATCTTGATTGATCCAGCTCGAGGTCCGCGTCAGGAGTTCATCCTGAGAAGGCCGCACACGCAAAGTGGAGCGTAGAGTGGAAAGTTGACTGCCAAGAGTGCTTGATAAATCTGGCTGGACCCACACAAGTGCTATTTGGAGACATTGCCTCTGGAACTTCTGCCTTCGTCCGGTGTAGCTTGAAGGGCATTCCGCTGGTTGCATCCAGGCTGCTGGTACCTCAGTCGCCACATCCACATCTTGCACCGCTTTAATACGGCTTCATGATGGAAGCGTGACCACCTTCACGGTAGAAACTTGTAAAGTCGTCGCGGCCAGGGAGCCCATCCCACGACCTATGAAGTCTCCCATGTTTTGTCAGGGCCAGGCTGCATTCTCCAGCAAAGACCAGTCCACCAGGCCAGTCGCCCTGCCTCCTGCGCAAGAGCCGCATCTGGACGCAGGCCAACACTGAAGGCAGCCATGATAAAATCTCGGGCCCTGAAATCTCAGCGCGCGAAGCCCAGGCAACTATCCTGCAGTCCTCGATCCTTCAGCTTCCGATTCACCTTGACGAGTGGACTGTCTCGAAGATGTGGCATAACCTCCTCGCTTCATGTCTCAGGAGTGCATTAATGCTAAAAAATCTCAGGATCTTCCGGGTCCTTGAGTATATCCATGCCGGCTGTACCCGCCATGACTGTCAAAGTTGCAGGAGAGCTTTGGGAGTCCGCATATAGTCATGTAGTTGATGCATCTTTGTGGTTGGCTGCTTGCTGCGGGCCAGGAGAAGCCCAGATTTGAAACATGGGTTGTGCATCTTTATCTGCGCACGTGCTGATTGTTTGCGACAATTTGCTCGATGCGGCGTGGCTGTGCACGCCAGAACCTTGGTAGAGGCAACCAAAGGCAGAAAGGCAAGGAAGAATCGCTAACGAACATATTCAGTAGTGACACAGTCCGGAAAGGCAGGGATACCGGAAGGATGTATCTGAAAAAGAAGTGCTTTGTGCGGCCAAACGAGACAAAGCAATGAAGCAAGCTCTTCAGTCAAGCAATATGTACACAGTGCACTGTGCCTCTTTTCGGCACCTGTGCAACTGTCACTGCGTGGATCACAGTGCTAGACTGCCGGCCGAGCATATTGCTCCTAGGCCGAAGGGGAGGAAGCGCAGACAACACGAGATGCTCCGTCACGATCGCAAGCAATGGCCTCAGGGTCGAGGGAGAAATTCTAATCCCGTTCCCGCGCTTGCCGCGCTTACCCGGCCCAAACAAATCCTGATCCTTTAGGTGACCATGCAGAGCGATCCTAGTCGTCCTTAATTAGTCACCGTTAGTCACTTGTGGAAATGATACACAAGGTGAGTAGCTGCGTGAAACCAGCCGAGACGCTTGGCTGCACAGGACGGCAGCCCAAACACCTGTATCATTGGTCTTTAATGGTCACATGGTCCATGCTGCGTGTATTTCTCTCGTCTCAGTCGGTGCAAGCACGGCGCAACGACTCAGCGAGATGATGAAGTTTACCCCTGCCACACCTGCCGTTCCACCAATGCCCAGAATTACGGGCTCGGCGCCCAAAAGCAGCTGCAGCTCATGGCCTGCAAACTGCATGGTGAATCTCTGCATCTTGCCACTAGCAAAAGAGTGCAGACTGTGCCTGGCCCTCGCCAAAGAATTCGCGCTGCCTCATAACTCTCGCTGTGAGCTTTGGGGCTCAGCTTTGCAAGCATAAGGCAGATCTGCAGAGAATTGGTTCCATTGAACTACTAACGATGCACAAACACCGGGGCTCCTCTGCCACAGCACCCACCAAAGCCAGAGCCAGTGCTCCAGAAGAACCCCGCAGTCGCGATCGCCGAAGAACAACCTGGTGTTGCGAGCAGTGGCTAGCTCAGGCGTTAGCGCACAAGCTGATGGTGACAAAGGCATTTTGCTAGGACAAGGTGCATGAGACTCGGCTTCACAAATCACACAACATACCCATGCACAGTCTGTGCAGATCCTGTTGTATTTGCCCCGGTTTGAAGAACCTACATAGGTCCAGACTTGGAGACGACGTGGACAGGGACTCTCGGCAAAATAGCAGTTGACTTGCTGCGCCGACGACGGCGAAGTTATTCGGACATGGTCACAGCGGTGCACAACTTCGAACGGCACTGCGTGTTCTCAATTATCTTGACTCCGTCATAGAAAGGACAAACCAGCTAGCACTTGCAATGACCCGTCCGTTGTCAATCGCATGTACACAAAACTCCCTTCCGCTAATCTGGTGATCCTGGAGCTCATGCACTTCAAGCTGCACCGGTCGTACATAACAAGTCGATGACCTCAAAGCTAATTCAGCAACAACTCCTGACAAGCCAAGCCAGTCACGCCTTCTCGACCGATAAGAGTTCAGTCTGCCTGCTCTCTTTTCATGTGTCAGTGTCGCTGAGTTTGGCACCACGTAGGGCACCGTGTGGAGCAAAATGGGAATGTATCCCCCAGCGCTGATCCACGCGAGCTTGGATGTGCTGCCTCTGTGCCCGTATTTCACATGCCTTCTGCCTGCGAACCTGAATTAGGTCCATAATTAGGTGAGACAGTGAAGCAGGGAAGCAAGCGGCCACCTGCATCTTGCATCCCGGCCGAGACCAGTAGAAGCGCCGACTGGAGCATGGCCCCCATCTGTCAGGTATGAGTGTGGTCTCTTGTGCCCATGACAAGGCCACCCGTCCAACTGCTGGCACAGCCCACCAGCCAGGTCCCGAAGGCACCGAGGCAGCGCACAAGACGACAGACCTCGCTTCACGACAATGCTGTCCCACGCTCACGACAGCATTTGCAATCTGGCCCGAATGTCAAGCCCTTGGCAGCAACTTATGATGTTTCGGAACGCGTGGGTCGTGGTGCGAGAAAGATCAGAAAGAGCACATCGGGATTCTGAGAATAAAAGTGTCGAATCTAGGAGCCGTGCTGCCTAGAACGCAAGGCATGCACTTCGAACATCGCACCGGTCGAGGACACAGTTGAAGGCAGGTGTTTCTCATACCAGCTGACCGGGTCTTCCGACATTCCACAGGACCAACAGAAAAATGGAGCAGAAAAGGGTTCCATCAGCGAACTCTTCGCTGCGCAATTCTGAGTTTTTCATGCTGGAGTACAAGCCATCGCAGCTCTCGCTACATGCACATGCACCGGGCAAAACCAGGCATAAGCCAGCGGCAGTCAGCGCCGCAAGCAGGGACCCGGCCAGCCGCGCAACGGCCAGGCCACGGCGAGGCACCCCTGCATACAACAAGCAGTTCACGAGCAATCGCGAGCATGCGGCGGGGGGGGGGGGGGCCCCTGCTGAAGCTTGGAAGATCTCCTGCTGCTGGGACGAGGCTTCGCTGGCCACGCCGCATAGAAGCAGCGTGAAAAGTGCCTGATTCGGACCGGCCCAGGGCCACTCAAGTCCGGGTCGTTTTTAAAGTTCCTGCTCCTACACAAGCAGACACGGCTAGTGCTGTCTTGTAGCAGCCACAGCGCCCGGGTCCTGCACTGAATTTCACTGAAGCGATGGCATAGTCATCATAGCATGACGGGCCAGTCCCAACTGGAATACTGCACGTCCTGCAGGAGGTCTGCCACCAGATTTTCGTTCTGAGCCTGGGAAAAGGACGCCAGTCCTCTTGAGGCTTTTTCTTCTTCTTCTTCGAAGTGATTTCTGTGATGTCTGAAAATTGGATCAACTTTGAGCCCTGCAGCTGCCTTCGACTCCGAATCATGTGGCGAAGCATCTGGCTGCTGCGCACTGTCCTGCCGGTGTCCAAGCCCCTGCAGCTCGACATCATGCTCCACAGGTCAATTCAGCTTTCATGTGTCCTTGGGTGTCTTGCCGCGTTTCAGGCGCCAACGCCTCTTTTCTCCTCGAATTCGCCTCTGCTCTGAAGCGTTCTCACATCTTTCGGACCATCTGTGAACATGACTGACAATGCTTCCCCTGAACTTCCCTCCCTCATCCTCTTTCTACCCCGTCTTCAGATGCTGGTGAATGTCCGTCCGACATTTGTTTGGTTTTTGAGCTTCTTGGCAAACCTTCTCATCCGTTGCGTCCACAATGATCAGCTGTTTATCGAAACTCTCCCTGCATATTCCCTGCCTTGCTTCTGAGGCCCATGTTGTTGATCTCACACACACACACAGCTTAGCCGCTTAGGCGCACTCGTCTAGGGAAAGACTTGAAAGCGCAGAAATGGCCTCGCACATGCCAACGCAAACGCCCTTGTAGTAGCCATTCTGGAGGGTCAAAGTTTACGTGCGCATGATAAGGATGCACTGGTATGGTCATTGTCATCGTTCGGGCGCATCTCTGGCCAATGGATGCACGGGTAGAGTGAACGTAGCTACAAGTAGCGTTCGTGCAGGGATGCTCTTTCTAATGGACGCGTTGGTAGCGACATGAACAGAGTCAGTGTAGACCTTTGCCTTCGGGGGCGCTGGACAGCACTTTGCGAGGAGCCGTGGCCTGCCGCGCCATCAGCCGAGGCCAGAGATCCTTGTGGAGGATGCCTTTATCCGTGATGAACGAGGGACACAACATCGGCCCCTGCGTCCTCAAGTTTTAGACAGCGTGCTGCAAGAGGGCGGGTGGACTGAAGCCGCCTGCAGAATTGAATAGATCAGGGGGCTCCACACAACTCCGACTCGTGGAGACCGCCAAGTTCAAAGATTTCATGTCCTACTCGGGGGCGAGGGGGCGGCGCTACAGGCACGTGGGGCACATCTCTCCGGAGGATCCTCCTTTCATAGCAGTCGCTGTTACACGAATGACAACCCTGTGGCGACCGAGATCTCATGCACTCCTCCGCCTCACTCCTGGACTGGCTGCTCCTTCTAGTTGGCTGATGTGAGCTGGAATCCGGGGAATGGCACATATGCCATGAGCGACCAAGAGCAGACACAGCATTACAAGAACGACACGGTAGAAGAGAAGGAGAAACACCGCATTCTGCATGTACCCATGCACCACGCCATGCCTTTGGCCAGGGGACGACACCTTGGCAACTTGGCACAGAAGGGGACGGCCTGTTCACGTAGGCACAACCACTTCGTCCGTCATCGTCAAGCACCAGTGGGGAGCAATAAGCAGCGTCCCAGATGTATGCAGCCTTCTCTCGATATGATCGTGATCCCGTTCAGGCCCGTTCAGTACTCCTCATTTCACGACTTTGCGAGAGGTTGTGAGCATGTCGATCGTCCTCGACCTCGAATTGAATCGATCGTGGGTTGTTGCTTTGAGCTTTGTGTTTTCGTAGGAGACTTTGGGCAGTGATTCTTTGGAGCGGAGCCCCTTATGACGAAAGACCCTGCAGGCCGAAAAGGAAAAATTTAACGAGAATCTTGCTTGCTTGCTGGCGAAATGTAGGGGTCTTAACCCCCCTGCACCCTCAACTCGCCGCTTTGTCCTGTACTAGCCGGTATCGGCCGAGGCGGTGCATGTCTCCCTTCGCCCGAGCCCAGAGGATCTCTCTCTCCTGCTATCTCCTGCTATCGCCTCTCTCTGTCTCGCTCCCTCTCTCTGGACATGGAGGCTGGTCAAAGCCTCCGGGCATCATGCCCACCCGAAGTGTTT